GACAGCAAGTGTGCTGCAATCAGCGCAGGAGGCTCGCAAAAGGGGGTAACTCTAGCCCTGGCAAAAATCTTGCAAACAGAAGGGAAAAGGCAAGAAACAAGAGGAAATTTAGACAGCAAGGGAAAGACAAAGAAAGCAAGAAAGGTACTAGTAGAAACAATAAGAAAATGAAAAAGGATGATCGAAACACACAAAAACAACAGCAGAAGAAGAAGAATCAAAAGCGCAACAAAAAGAACTCAAAGGCGAATCGAGGACCAAGTCAACATAACAAGAAACTGAAAGGAAAGACTAGGGGAGAAAAGGAGGAAGCAATAGACGGAAGGAAGAAAAAGAGAGTGAAGTCAATCAAAGCAAAGGCTCAGGGAAAGGAACTGCAAGCACCTAACGTCCAGAGATCAGGAAAGAAGCTTACGTCCAAAGATAGCGATGGAGGAAAACGCATATGCAAGAAGACGTATAAAAAATGCAGAGACCAGGGCGGGAAATGCGTCGAGGCAGGGACGTGTGCGACTCAGACTCTCGAAGGCGGTTGCCGCGGCTCCTCATGCGAATGTTGTCTTGCTGAAGGTATTCGTTATGGCATGGATGGGAATAACTTTCCAGAGCTAAAGGTGTAACTGGCCCGTCTCTATGCTACATTTTCGATAGGAAAAAAATCAACCTCTGTTACATATTACCGTATACATTTATCTTTTTACGTATTTGTTTCTCAATCTTCATATATATATATTTATATACATATATATTTTATACTTTTTTATATCTCAATGTCTGCATATATACATATATACATATATGTATGCATGTATAGTGTGTTTATGTATATATACACACGCATATACATGTGTATATGTATATATATACATATATATATGTATGTGTGTGTGTGCATTAATGTGTTACCTCATTATATTATTCCTCTTCACAGTCCCAGAATATCTTCACCCATGTTTTTGTCTTAATTTATAGGCAATGCTCCCCGTTACTCACGTTCGTCTTTAATCTTCTCCCATAAAATGTCATAGGTGTCACAATGGAATAAAGATTTAAATCTTTCCCTTTACCGGTATTTTCGAAGAAACTCGCTGAAAAAAGTATCTCTACTCCTTCTGACTTCACAGTAGAAGTATAAGTGTGAGATGGAATAATGTAAAAAAGCATTGATATACATAAATGATTTTAAAAATCGGGATCAGTTCTACAGTGCGAGTAAAACCTCGTCCACATTGAGTAGTTAGGTAATGCCTATGGAGGTAGTGAGATGCTAGTCGATCATTAAGCATAATGGATGTTGAAGACATAGTGATTTGTTAGGTATATACATTTTCTCTTTTATGCCATTTACATAATCATTTCTATTGTATTCCTTGATTTGACATCATTATCTACTAGACATTAGGCTTTTACCCTAATCACTTACCACCTGCCTCTCCCTCGAGGCCGATATCTCATTTTAGCTGAACGAATGGGTAGATTTACATGTTTATTCGATCCAGCTATAGAAATACTCGGTGGGAAAGGCTAACAGAAATCTATAGAGAATATCACTGGAAAAACCGTTTCATTTCCCATCTTTTGTTTAAGAAACTCCCAGAACTAGCCTTTGATTGATATTATGCAATTCTGAATGACTATGTATATATATCTATTTGTATGTATGCATGTATATGTGTATATAGTATAAGTACGTGTATTGTTGATACCAGGTTAGTGCTCACATATTTATATTTTCCTCTAATACAGATTGCTCTACAAAAACCAAGAAAAAATGCGAGAACTATGACGGAACCTGCAAAGCCTCGTGCGCAGCGGGAGAACGGATCATCGAAAAGGGCTGCAAAGGAAAGAAATGTAAATGCTGTGCTGAAGCCTGTAAACCAACAAAGAAATGCAAAGGCGGTTTCTGCGTTGAAAAGGCAAAAGACTGCACTGGTAAACTTCTGAAGTCGGGATGCAAAGGGAAGAAGTGTTTCTGCTGCCTCCCCTCCCCCTGCGTGCCGAAGAACAAATGCAAGGGCGGTTTCTGCGTCTCGAAGAAGAAAGAGTGCAAAGGAGGCCAGTTCCTGAAGAAGGGATGCAAGGGTAAGAAGTGCTCCTGTTGTATCCCTAAATGCGTGAAGAAAAAGAAATGCAACGGTGGCTTCTGCGTCTCCAACAAGCAAGACTGCAAGGGCGTCATACTGAGTAATGGCTGCAAGTCTAAACCCAAAGGGGGAGAATGTTACTGCTGCATTGAAGGTAAGTCGTGGTGCCATGTTGCGTTTAATGTGAGAGCTTAATGAAATTACTGTCATCCGTAATCAGGGCTCAGAATGCACTAACAAATTACAACCCATCAGGAGGAACTACGCCAGCAGGAGGTACTACACCAGCTGGTGGAGCAACACCAGCAGGAGGAGCTACACCGGCTGGTGGAGCAACACCAGCAGGAGGAGCTACACCGGCTGGTGGAGCAACACCAGCAGGAGGAGCTACACCGGCTGGTGGAGCAACACCAGCAGGAGGAGCTACACCGGCTGGTGGAGCAACACCAGCAGGAGGAGCTACACCGGCTGGTGGAGCAACACCAGCAGGAGGAGCTACACCAGCTGGTGGAACAACTCCAGCTGGTGGAACTACGCCAGCAGGAGGATCCGCACCATCAGGAGGAAACACAACAGAAAACGGAACTACCCCAGCAGGAGGAACTACGCCAGCAGGAGGATCCGCACCATCAGGAGGAAACACAACAGAAAACGGAATTACCCCAGCAGGAGGAACTACGCCAGCAGGAGGATCCGCACCATCAGGAGGAAACACAACAGAAAGCGGAACTACACCGGCAGGTGGAGCTACACCAGCAGGAGGAAGTACCCCGGCAGGTGGAGCTACACCAGCAGGAGGAAGTACCCCGGCAGGTGGAGCTACACCAGCAGGAGGAAGTACCCCGGCAGGTGGAGCTACACCAGCAGGAGGAAGTACCCCGGCAGGTGGAGCTACACCAGCAGGAGGAAGTACCCCGGCAGGTGGAGCTACACCAGCAGGAGGAAGTACCCCAGCAGGTGGAGCTACACCAGCAGGAGGAAGTACCCCGGCAGGTGGAATTACACCAGCGGGAGGAAACACAACAGAAAACGGAGCTACACCGGCAGGAGGACCTACTCCGGCAGGAGAATCTACTCCGGCAGGAGGAACAACCCCTTCTCCTTTACTACGTTTATATGCTACCCTTCAGGATAATATTGCTCTCCGTAATGCTATGTCTGAACTGTCACAAACACTTGACACTTTATTTGCTGCTCTAGACAGTATCCTGAATGCAAACACGGGAAGAAGACACCGACGTAGTGTTAGCGACATCGAGAGCATAGTCATTATAGCAGAACAAGCGACTGCAGCTGTTCAGAATGGCAATACGTCAGCTGTGATGTTACTTACAGAGGAAATAAAGGCGAAGACAAGCGTCGTTTCGGATCTCGCCGAAGCAGCTGCAAACAATGCAACACTGGCAAGGGAACTACAAGCAAGCGTAGGTGCTGCAATCAGTGGAATTCGTGACCTACAAGGAGCCGTCATAACGAAAGACAAAGAAGTCAAAAGTAACATTGAAAAAGTACAGCAGGAAATAAACCAGTTCGGGGGAACTACTGTTGACGTAACAACCATTGATATTAACTTGATAACAGGTAAGGAAGGAAAATGAGTAATAAGTCAACGTTTGGCAATCTACAGTATTTACATATATACATACATAAACATATATACATGCATATATATATATATATATATATATATATATATATATATATATATATATACATATATATATGCGAATATATACATATATATATACACACACATACACATTTACGTACTTATATAAATAGATATTTATATGTGTATATATATGTACTTATATAAATAGATATTTATACATATATAACTATGTACTGTGTATATGTGTGTATGCATGCACACACACACACACACACACACACACACATATATATATATATATATATATATATATATATATATATATATATATGCATTTATACACATATATATGTATGAATATATATATAAACATACATGATTATGTACATTTATATGTGTGCACACACACATATGTATGTATACATATATATACATAAATTTATATATATGCCCATGTGTCTATACTATTCATCCACACACATACACACGTGTGTGTGTGTGTGTGTGTGTGTGTATGTGTGTGTGCACTCATATATACATATTTATGTAGATGAAGAAAAAGTTTTAATTTTTGAAATATCTACTTTTCAGACGGTGGCATTGAAGAGACCATTGCGAAGGAAGAGGATGATACGACCATCGCAGACATCAGCACCATTTTGGACACAATAGTAGAAACTACCACAGGGGATACTGCCACCGTAGATATCACCCTGATTGATACCACAGCAATGGACACTATCATAGACACTACAACAGTAGACCTCACAGTCGACACCGCCATAGTAGCCACTGCCATAGATATAACAACAATGGAAACTACCATTGTCGATATTACTACAATAGACGCCACAGGAGATGCCATCACAGCTGACACCACCACAGGAGATGCCATCACAGCTGAAACCATCACAGCTGAAACCACCACAGGAGATGCCATCACAGCTGAAACCATCACAGCTGAAACCACCACAGGAGATGCCATTACAGCTGACACCACCACAGGAGATGCCATCACAGCTGACACCACCACAGGAGAGGCCATCACAATTGACACCACCACAGGAGATGCCATCACAGCTGAAACCACCACAGGAGATGCCATCACAGCTGACACCACCACAGGAGATACCATCACAGCTGAAACCACCACAGGAGAGGCCATCACCATTGACACCACTACAGAAGATGCTATCACAGCTGACACCACCACAGGAAATGTTGCAACAGTTGATACCACTACCGAAGACAGCAGTACAGCAAATACCAGCACGTTGGGATCCTCAACCACTACACAGTGATGAAGAATCAACTAGCAAGGCAGTGACCATAGCGCCTAGACAATATCATTGTCTAAAAGAAAAAAAAAGAAAAGAAAAAATGCACCCACTACCGATGCTATATTCTTGTAAAAAGGTAGACATTTCCACACAAATGTATGTTTCTGTATGCGTCTCTACTGTCATAAGATATGACTAATCGTTTGCATAAAAAATGAGGATTAAACAATCCTAGATCCTATAATTATATGATCAAATAAATAAAATATTTGCATTCTAACCATTCTTTCAATCGTATTATAAGAAATGAGAAACCTTTTTTTCAAATGCATGAATAATTCAGATTAAGAAATAAAATGAAAATTCATATTCATAATCCTAGTATACATGTGTGTGTTCACATATATATACGTACATTTATGTGTGAATGTAAATATATACACATGCATACATGTATATATATGTATATATATATGTGTGTGCTCCAAATATAATGGAAAAAAATCCTGACTACTCTGCAACTTATCTTGTTTATACACCCCACTCTTCGCTCCGCAAGGCTGTAGAAACTTTCACATGCATTTCTCAAATTCAGTGAAAAAAAAAGAAAAAGAAAAAAAAGGAAAAAAAAGAAAAGAAAAGAAAAGAAGAAGAAGAAGAAGAAGAAGAAGAAGAAGAAGAAGAAGAAGAAGAAGAAGAAGAAGAAGAAGAAGAAGAAGAAGAAGAAAAAAAAAAAAAAAAAAAAAAAAAAAAAAAAAAATATATATATATATATATATATATATATATATATATATATATATATATATATATATATTTACATACATTGTTCTTATGTAAGTTGCATGAGGTTCTGGATCAGATATGGCGTCTCTGGATCAGATATCTGAATAATTCCGATGACCACGGGCATTTATTCATCTTATTGATTGAATTATATTAACCAATCAAGATATACAGCCTGAAAGGTTATATCATAGAGTGCCGAATATTTTTGAAGACATTCCTCCCTCCACGGGAAATGACTCGCACACGTTTGTGATTCTTACCATGTCGTTCCAGCGAACGTCATGACTGACTTCAAAATTCTGCCCATATCAAGTGAACATGTATTTGATAAACTGTTTAAAAAAGCACAGACACATTTTATGTCCCATTAAATAGAATCTTGTATTAATAAACTTACGAAGCTATTCGTAATTATTGAAAATGTAAATCCCTCTCTGAGACTACATGAAATATCACACTGATAGGCTGCTTGGAGTGTATCACATTCTATTAAGGAAGAGGCATATAAGGTCTTTTTTTGTAGCATCCCTAAACCCCTAACACTTCGATACATTGTTTCAAGCGCTACATAACACGATATCATCGAAGTTTGCACTGACTTAAAAAGTGGTGAAAAAAAGGAGAAATTAACTTTACTTATTTCACGAGTCAATAGAAAGCCATTAAAGTACATAGTATGCTGATATGAATTTTATTTATAATCAAAATATTGTGGGAGCTTCTATATTCCTTGATTTGACATAATTATTTACTAGATGTTGGGCTTTTACCCTAATGACTTGGCCGATATCTCATCTTAGTTGAACGAATGGGTAGATTCACATGTTTATTCGATCCAGCTATAGAAATACTCGGTGGGAAAGGCTAACAGAAGTCTAAAGTGAATATCACTACATTTTTTGGCTCACAGTTTGTTGTATTTATTGAACTTGTTTTTTGTTCGAATTATCTCACAACAAATTTTAATATGAGAACCTCTTTAATTAATTTACTTATGCTGTCTAATGTACTATGTTCACTATTTCAGCACTGATGATGGATATACGATTTATCTCTGAAACGATGGCAAATAAATATCAAATTAATCACGGCCGTATTAGTCTACCTCTTCGTTTTGACTATATATTTATACATACATATATATATATATATATATATATATATATATATATATATATATATATATATATATATATATATCAGTGTGATATTTCACGTAGTCTCAGATAAGGATTTACATTTTCAATAATTACGAATAGCTTCGTAAGTTTATGAATACAAAATTCTATTTAATGGTGTATAAAATATTTCTGTGTTTACCATGTCGCTGGAACGACATGGTAAGAATCACAAACGTGTGCGAGTCATATCCCGTGGAGGGAGGAATGTCTTCAAAAATATTCGGCACTCTATGATATAACGTTCCAGGCTGTATATCTTGATTGGTTAATATAATTCAATCAATAAGATGAATAAATGCCCGTGGTCATTGGAATTATTCAGACATCTGATCCAGAGACGGAACTTAGTCGCGGTGGATATGATAAGATGCAAAGCCTCATGCAACTTACACAAGAACAATGTAAGTAAAAAATATATAGATATATATTGACTGAATCTGAGAAATACATGTGAAAGTTTCTTCAGCCTTCCGGAGCGAAGAGTGGGATGTATAAACAAGATAAGTTGCAGAGTAGTCAGGTAATTTTTCCATTATATTTGGAGCACACACACATATATATGTACATATATACACATGTGTGTGTATATATATTTACATTCACACGTATATGTATGTATATATATGTGCACACACAAATGTATATTAGGATTATGAATATGAATTTTCATTTTATTTTTTAATCTGAAATATTCATGCATTTGAAAAAAAGGTTTCTCATTTCTTATAATACGATTGAAAGAATGGTTAGAATGCAAATATTTTATTTATTTGATCATATAATTATAGGATCTAGGATTGTTTAATCCTCATTTTCTATGCAAACGATTAGTCATATCTTATGACAGTAGAGACGCATACAGAAACATACATTTATGTGGAAATGTCTACTTTTTTACAAGAATATAGCATCGGTAGTGGGTGCATTTCTTCGTTATTTTTTTTTCTTTTAAACACTGACATTGTCTAGGCGCTATGGTCACTGCCTTGCTAGTTGATTCTTCATCACTGTGTAGTGGTTGAGGATCCCAACGTGCTGGTATTTGCTGTACTGCTGTCTTCGGTAGTGGTATCAACTGTTGCAACATTTCCTGTGGTGGTGTCAGCTGTGATGGCATCTCCTGTGGTGGTGTCAGCTGTGATGGCATCTCCTGTGGTGGTTTCGGCTGTGATGGCATATCCTGTGGTGGTTTCAGCTGTGATGGCATCTCCTGTGGTGGTGTCAACTGTGATGGCATCTCCTGTGGTGGTTTCAGCTGTGATGGCATCTCCTGTGGTGGTGTCAGCTGTGATGGCATTTTCTGTAGTGGTGTCAACTGTGATGGCATCTCCTGTGATGGTTTCAGCTGTGATGGCATCTCCTGTAGTGGTGTCAACTGTGATGGCATCTCCTGTGATGGTTTCAGCTGTGATGGCATCTCCTGTGGTGGTGTCAGCTGTGATGACATCTCCTGTGGTGGTTTCCGCTGTGATGGCATCTCCTGTGGCGTCTATTGTAGTAATATCGACAATGGTAGTTTCCATTGTTGTTATATCTATGGCAGTGGCTACTATGGCGGTGTCGACTGTGAGGTCTACTGTTGTAGTGTCTATGATAGTGTCCATTGCTGTGGTATCAATCAGGGTGATATCTACGGTGGCAGTATCCCCTGTGGTAGTTTCTACTATTGTGTCCAAAATGGTGCTGGTGTCTGCGATGGTAGTATCATCCTCTTCCTTGGCAATGGTCTCTTCAATGCCACCGTCTGAAAAGTAGATATTTCAAAAATTAAAACTTTTTCTTCATCTACATAAATATGTATATATGAATGCACACACACATACACACACACACACGCACACGCACACACACACACACACGTGTGGATGAATAGTATAGACACATGGGCATATATATAAATATATGTATATATATGTATACATACATATGTGTGTGTGTGCACACATATAAATGTACATAATCATGCATGTTTATATATATATTTATACATATATATGTGTATAAATGCATATATATATATATATATATATATATATATATATGTGTGTGTGTGTGTGTGTGTGTGTGTGTGTGTGTGTGTGTGTGTGTGTGCATGCATACACACATATACACAGTACATAAATATATATGTATAAATATCTATTTATATACGTACATATATAAAAAAGTACGTAAATGTGTATGTGTATATACATATGTATATATTCGCATATATATATATATATACATACATATATATATATATATATATATATATATATATATATATATATATATATATATATATATGCATGTATGTATGTTTATGTATGCATATATGTAAATACTGTAGATTGCCAAACGTTGACTTATTACTCATTTTCCTTCCTTACCTGTTATCAAGTTAATATCAATGGTTGTTACGTCAACAGTAGTTCCCCCGAACTGGTTTATTTCCTGCTGTACTTTTTCAATGTTACTTTTGACTTCTTTGTCTTTCGTTATGACGGCTCCTTGTAGGTCACGAATTCCACTGATTGCAGCACCTACGCTTGCTTGTAGTTCCCTTGCCAGTGTTGCATTGTTCGCAGCTGCTTCGGCGAGATCCGAAACGACACTTGTCTTCGCCTTTATTTCCTCTGTAAGTAACATCACAGCTGACGTATTGCCATTCTGAACAGCTGCAGTCGCTTGTTCTGCTATAATGACTATGCTCTCGATGTCGCTAACACTACGTCGGTGTCTTCTTCCCGTGTTTGCATTCAGGATACTGTCTAGAGCAGCAAATAAAGTGTCAAGTGTTTGTGACAGTTCAGACATAGCATTACGGAGAGCAATATTATCCTGAAGGGTAGCATATAAACGTAGTAAAGGAGAAGGGGTTGTTCCTCCTGCCGGAGTAGATTCTCCTGCCGGAGTAGGTCCTCCTGCCGGTGTAGCTCCGTTTTCTGTTGTGTTTCCTCCCGCTGGTGTAATTCCACCTGCCGGGGTACTTCCTCCTGCTGGTGTAGCTCCACCTGCTGGGGTACTTCCTCCTGCTGGTGTAGCTCCACCTGCCGGGGTACTTCCTCC